AATGCGTAGGCTGTAACCAGTATCAATTAAATTAGAATCACTGGGACCAAGGCATCATTTTTTAAAGTTCCCGAGATGATTCCAGTATGTGTGCAAGTTTGAAAAGTAATGTTCTGGAATGTTTACCAAGCCAGTAACCATTGAATGAGAAAATTAGAATTGCAGAATTGCATTAATCAGAAATCTGTTATAATGTATATTGAATGATCAAGAAACCCAGGTGCTTATTTTTCTTTCTCTCAAAAATCTGTAGGTATATTTCTTACAGTGTCGTAGAGATTTTGGTTTGCTTCATCTAGAGCAGACTGAAAAGGAGTGTCTCAGTCAGCTTGCCAGGGTGACTCACATGGCAGCAAGGTAACCTTTCACTCTTCCTTAATGCATCTTGACCTCAAAGATATTTGCAAGCGTCTCCAAGGTTGAACATAATCTGCAATGTGTTTTACATATATGACATCAGAGTTTTGGGCGTGAAGAAGCCCTTGTTTTTTTAAACCTTAAAAGTTGTGTAGTCACTTTGATGCTGTTGCTTCTGCTGAAACACAGAGTAGTGTACTGAGTGCAGTAATAGCTACCGAAAGATTATTTTCTTCCTCTACACTGTAGTAAATCAAAAGTCGCAGTCAGAGACATGCATGAGGACCACATATTTATAAAACAAAGCAGATTCTAACTGGAAAATGTTTTCTAACTCTTTTCTCTGCTAATGCTTGATTTTAAATANTTTTATATTTATGCATTAAGGTTGGTATATGTTTGTTGCTTTATGATTTCATGACATTACCGGTAAATAACAATGATGTTCAATTGTGAAGAGCTTCCTCAAAGCACTATAGACTTGTCCAGCTTCTTCCTTGATGTTTTGACTATTTCTCTCCAGACTCTTTCTTACTCAGTCTTTAGTGATGTTTAGCATTTCTGCTAGATGTATTCAAAGTTTTGGCCTCAAAAGATCTGCCCCTTGTTCTCTATCCTTGTTTTCTTTTAGCACATGTCCTCTGGTATGGAGGTTTCTAAATGTTCTGTTTCGTAAGACTTCGTTTTCCAGTTCTTCTGGGTTATTCACAAAATAATCTGATAAAACAAAATGGGGACAATGCCAGAAAATGTTGAAAACATGTT